CAAGAATCAAGTGTATTGTCCATAAAAAGAAAAAGGCAGGGGAGGGTTATCACTTCCAAAGAGGCTTATGTGCAAGTCTCTGTTAGGCAGAATCTAGTCTATAAGATAGATGCTTTAGTAAGGGAAAATAACTGGACTTCTTTCACGGAGGCAGTTTACGAGGCATGTGCTGATGTTGTTGGATTTACTGATAAGCATCAGGATTGGTTTGATCAGAATGACAAGCACATAGAAAAGCTCTTGAAAGAAAAAAAATAAACTCTACTCTATATTACTTCATAGTGATTTACCTGGTGATCAGAAGAAGGAAATTGAGGCCAAGTTAAAGGCAATAAAAGCTGATATACAGCAAAATCTGTGCATGGTGAAGAACAAATGGAGTGACAAAGCTGATGAAATACAGTTTGCGTTGGATGTGAAGGATAGTATGGCCATGTAAAATCTACTTTGTGTAGTTTACAGGCCTTCTACTTCATTTAAGGACTAAGGATGGCAAAAAAATTTGAGATCCCAATGATATTCTGTTGATGCTGTGAAGATTTTGACGAGCTTCTCAATAGGCACTCAGAAGTTGATGAAAAGTTTATCAGGTCTTTACCTGAAAAGCCTGTTAAAAAATTTCTCATGGAGCCTCCAACAGGAGGAGGTTGAAAGTGCTGTCAGAAAGCGTATTAGTGAAAAGTCACCTGGAACAGATGGGTTGCATGCCGAGATTTTTAAGCATGGAGGAGAAAGTCTTTTGCATTAGCTTCATTTGATGTTGCTAGATGCCTGGAGTAATAACAATGTTCCAGATGATTGGAAAGATGCTTGTTCTGTACAAGGGCAAGGGGGACAGGGATGACTGTGGAAATTATCGTGGCATATTGCTTTTGTCAGTAAGGTTCTTTGTGGACTAAGCATGATTTTGTTAATTCAGAATTATCCTTCTCCTAGACTGGTTGCCAGTCAAGGATGCAACCCCAGCATTCTCTACTATTTAACCCATAACTGGGAGAGATGGAGTCATACTTTTCCCCCCGAGGTATTTGCACATAAGTATACATCACTCAAACATCCTCAAGGTTAGGGCATCTGGTATTCCTAGACTGTGAGCCATTTAAGTACTGACCAGGTTTGATTTGGCTTAACTTCGGGGACAGTGATAACCAGTGTTTCAACATGGAAGCCTTAAAGGAAATAAAACTAGATTTTAGTAAGTCCTTACTTGCACTATATTTATTAATCTTTTAAATATTTATTTTTCCAATTTTAGTCTATTCTTGAACTTTGCAAATATTTATATATTTAATATGAAAATAACAAAATAGGGCAAAATTGGCAGTCAATTGCTGATACCTCCTGACAAATCTACTGAACAATTGCAAAAAAGGTTCATCCAAGAAACTCTGGAGTTGGGGTGTTGAATATAACACCAATCAGCTAAGTGACAAATTTCTCATTTGTATTAGCAATTCACCCCTGAAGATTATCTCGGATGAGATTGAAAATATTTGGGAAAATGGAAATAAAAGAAAAAAACTTCAGCATCTTTGTTGAATTTAATATCAACATTAAGAAATCAATAAGAGAATTTGAGAGGTTCAAAATAAAAAATGGACATATATGTCCAGATAATTCCACCAAACATACTTGAATGAAGATATGCTGTACAAACTATTACAACCATCACTCATATTTTCATATTTCAGGTATTGGTATATTTATTTTATTTTTATTTATTTATTTATTTATTTTATTTTTTTATTTTTTTGTACCAATTTTTTGCTTCCTCCTGTATCTCAATGTTTCAGAGTAACTTATTTTGAAAGACAACTTCTTTGTGCAGATGCCATTTTTTGCATTGCCGAACTGAAGGGTCATTTGCCTAATTCTCCATGTGGATGACTGACTCTAATCTATTATGCCAGTTCAAATGTTTTTTTATATTATTGTCTAACCAAAAGTTTCTGACTTGTTCAAGATAGAGAGACTGTGTGTGTGTTATATGTTTGAAGAAAAGTGTATCACATTTTTAAGTGAATTTCAAAGCCAATATCTCAATTTTTGTAGTAGTAGAGCAAGTCAACTCTTGTCTGAGTATGACCACTTCCATGACTTCACTATTCATTTCCTTGCTGCTGATATTGTCTCAAGTGACTCCTTCATTCAGCAAGTAACCTATATTTGAAGGCACAGGTTTTGTACCATCCTCTGTGTGATGATAAACGACATCCGCTCATCCTGGGTAAGATGATAAACTGCATCCAACAGCAAGGCCTCTGATCAGGAGGCTTTGAGGAGCATGGAACCACCTCTTAATTGGTGGTGTTCCCAGATCCACTCGAACCTGAGGTGGTAGCATTAGTTAGGGTCCCATCTATGGGTGAATAGTTTACATCCAAACTGGGATCAAAACACTATGAAAGTGTAAAAATAGGTTTTAATATTAGCAATACATTTTTGAAGGAAAAATATTACCAGCAATGAAGATCTTGATGGCATTAAATAACCCATTGAGGTTGACTATTTACATTATTTGGACTATTGTTCTAATCTTTGTCGCTATATCTATTGTACACTCTGGCCTTCTTCAGGTTGTTGGAATGTCGATCTGAACCCTTTATTTCACTCACTGGTGTAGACTGTTCTAGTTCCTCAAGGACACGTGACACAGTGGATAAAGGCCTTGGTTAGATCCAGTGACAGGACCCAAACAGTGTGAGTTCAATACCTGGTTAAGGCAGTGGAGAACTTGGAGAGGGGAATTAACAGGAGATAACTGACAACTGATATCCATTAAACATGGCACGTGGAACTAGAACAGTCTACCCCAGTGAGTGAAATAAAGGATTCAGTTTGACGTTCCAACCACCTGAAGAAGGCTGGAGCGTACAACGGCTGAAACGATGTAAATATGGCGACAAAGATGAGACCAATAGAACAATAATGTAAATAGTGTACATAATACCTCATCTCAGAAATATACACAGATACCATTGAGGTTGATATGCCGTAAAACGAAACAAACAGGTTTTGCAACCCAGCTTACACCTTGCTGCATTGGTATCATGGTGCTGCAACTTGCAATGTTAAATTACACTTGCTGACATGCATTACTTTATTGTATAGATTCCAAACCAAATCAGGTTGGACATCATAGTGATTGTGTTGTTGTTGCCATGTATGTGTCTAATTGAGCCAGCCTTTGAAAGGCATATATGTCTACATTCTCCACAGGTGACTCTTTTTAGTATCTTTTCCTTGGAGGAGGCTTATGTTCTCTGTAGTGAGCAGTGTATTTTAGTTCTGAGTATTCAAGTCAGTCATTAATACCATTCATCTTCTAAGTCAACCTTTCGGACAAAAGATCTTCCCAAGCACTGGTTTCTATATTGATCTTCTTAAATGTGTCCTTGAGGCGATCACTTTAGTGTCCGTGCAGCTTGTATTGTGGATATTTGCCTTCCATCATTTGTATATAGATTTATTCAACAATGTATGTGCATTTTATTCAGTCTTTGAGACAGCATCATGATTACAACCTTCCAGAATTTGGCATCTTTCTAGATCATGAACTGGTCTAAGTGGGTTTTTTCCAAAGAATTTAAGTTCTTTCAACTTGGTCTTTTGAGCAGGAGTAAAGGTTTATCCCTTGTTTTCTGTTTGGGATTGAATTTCTTGTTCCATCTAAAATCTTCTGATTCTCTTTCACTCTCAGTAACCTCTTGTGTCTTATTGGCATTATCACCTTACTTGGGGTGAATTGATTAAAAAACAAAAAACTTGTAGGGATTAAAACACATGGTAATTTGAAGGTGCAAAGTCAGGTGAATATGGTGAGTGTTGTAGGATGTCCCAGCAAAACTGTATCAGTTTCTGTTGCATCTGCAAAGTGACATGATCTGACACTGTTTTGAAGGAAGGCAATTCCAGATGCCAATTTCAGATGCTTTTCATCTGTTGATCTTCAATAATGTAAATGCAATGTCAGCTGTTATCTTCTGTCTTAATTCTTGTTCTTTTATTGTTCTCTCTCTTTAATAGTATTTTTTTTTTTTTTTTTTTTTTTTTGCATACATTTTAACACTCAGTAACTGCTTGTATCTTAGTGGTTTTATTACATTCTTTGGGGTGAAATGATTAAAAAAAAAGAGATTTGAAAATGGACACAAATCTTTACATCCCCCCTACCTTTTCTTTTTTCTTAGTAACCCCCCCCCCCCAAACCATTGTCGGTCGTCTGGTGGTTGACCTGAGAGAAGAATAGACTTTGCTTCTTCCTCTTGATTCATTCAGTAGGCTTTCAGATAGCTTGGTAGCTCCCATCACCCCTCTAAGTACTTGATGAACAGACCATGTGGTATGATGTGGGTCTCCCTAGGTCTGTATACTAGTCCTTCAGGTTTTGATTTCAGAATTGTCCTTCTATATTGGTTGCCACCCAAGGCTATAGGACCCAGTCTGTCTTGCTATTTACCCATAGCAGGCAGTGAGAAGGGATGGATTCATACCTTTTCCAAGGGTATTAACACACTGCTATTATTATGCTTCAAATCTTTTTAAAACCAGAATTTATTGATTTTAATATTCTTCATCTCTGCAATAAAATATCTTATCCAAAATATATATAATTTTCTTTTATTTTTTTTTTCCCCTTGCAGAGAAGGAAGAAATTATCTTTCATTCTCATTTTTTTTTTTTCAAGATATTACAGTTAATAAGGCTCATTAGATTTTTCTCACTTCAGCTTGTCATTATCCTTTTGTAGATATGACTCAGTAAGGTTTCACATTTGTGCTTGCCTGGTGTATTATTGATTTTATTTCATTTTATACAACCCGATGAGTCAGTTTGACATCACTGACCATACTTCTAATAAATGTCTAAAATAAAGTTGGTTGCTTTTTTTTCTTTATTTTTTCATTCTTTATTTTTTTTCATATATTTTCTTTATTCTTTTGCCAATCAGGGTGGAGTATCATTATTACAATAAGAAAACCTCTTTTCTTCGGACTAGTATGGAGTATCATTATTACAATAAGAAAACCTCTTTTCTTCGGACTAGTATGGAGTATCATTATTCCAATAAGAAAACCTCTTTTCTTCGGACTAGTATGGAGTATCATTATTCCAATAAGAAAACCTCTTTTCTTCGGACTAGTATGGAGTATCATTATTCCAATAAGAAAACCTCTTTTCTTCGGACTAGTATGGAGTATCATTATTCCAATAAGAAAACCTCTTTTCTTCGGACTAGTATGGAGTATCATTATTACAATAAGAAAACCTCTTTTCTTCGGACTAGTATGGAGTATCATTATTCCAATAAGAAAACCTCTTTTCTTCGGACTAGTATGGAGTATCATTATTCCAATAAGAAAACCTCTTTTCTTCGGACTAGTATGGAGTATCATTATTCCAATAAGAAAACCTCTTTTCTTCGGACTAGTATGGAGTATCATTATTCCAATAAGAAAACCTCTTTTCTTCGGACTAGTATGGAGTATCATTATTCCAATAAGAAAACCTCTTTTCTTCGGACTAGTATGGAGTATCATTATTCCAATAAGAAAACCTCTTTTCTTGGGACTAGTATGGAGTATCATTATTCCAATAAGAAAACCTCTTTTCTTCGGACTAGTATGGAGTATCATTATTACAATAAGAAAACCTCTTTTCTTCGGACTAGTATGGAGTATCATTATTACAATAGCAAAATCATGAAGTTTGGCTTCCTTTTTCTTTTTTTTCAGTTTTGAACAAAAAAATTAATCTTGTGTCTATAAATACTTGTTACAAAATAAAGTCCTTGCATTTGTCTTGTTAAATTCCATCAATTCAAGATTGAACGAAGCATCACCTAAGTTTTTCTTTTGTCTTTATTGATATTGTTCTTTTATGGATATATTCTTTCTGAAAAGATATACGCACACACTCAATTATATCCAAGAATTTAATTTCTTTTCTGATCGCTTCCTTCATGATGATGGCATTGATGACTAAGTAGACCAATTCTTGCATGGAAGAGCCGATGGCATTGATTGCATTGTAATGTTGGTGGAGGATGAGGTCAATTTTGTCAAGCCTTCCTCTCTTGTTGTTTGACTACATCCTTTTCTTCTCTGGTGGCTTCAAAGTTTTTGGTTCCAAAGGTGATAGAACATCACCAGTTGGTATGTTCTTGTACATGTGTTTCAAACGATTTATGCTCAAGTCCATTGGTTTTCAATATTGTCTCTTCGAACAGAGCAACCCCGTGGTCTTTTCCCTGAAGTGAGCTCACTGAATAAGACTTGAAGTGGAAACCTTGACTCTACCATTCTTGCTACATGTCCTGACCATCAAAGAACTTGTTTAATGATCAGTGATTTGATGCTTTGACTATTAACTCTTTCCAGGACTTTGGTGTTGATCACTTAGTAATTCCATGTGATATCCAAGATTGAACGAAGCTTATGCTGGTGAAAGCATTGTAATGTTTGAATGCCGAGACTATATAGTCCAAGGTTTCACAACCATATAGCAAAGTTGAAATACACACACACACACACACATTTATGTATATAAATGTTTGATGTGTGGCAGAGTGGTTGGAACCTTTGCATTGTGACTATAAAACCTGGGTTTGAATCTCATCATGGTTAAATTGTCAAGAAGGTGGCTTCTTGGTGATATTGGCAGAGGAACACAATCCCAGCATGCTGCACCATTGGAAAGTGCCTGAAAACTATATCATGGATTGACCAAAGCCTTGAGAGTGAAAATTGAGTAGATGGAACTTTTTCAGAGGCTGTCCATGATTGTGTTAGCACAAAATCACAAGTCATCATCACCACTAAAAGTTTGAGCATATTGGCATGGTTCAAATTGTTGATAATGCTGGAGAAAGAACTCTTGGCCAAAATACTTTAACTAAGGTCAGCTCGGCACAGTTGCAGTATAAATCACAGGTGGGCTCTGTGGGTGTTGAATAAATACAAATGTGCTTGAGCAGGCATTAGCTAGTCAGATGGGTATGTTTGGACACACACACTTTTTGTAGATATGACTCATAGTGAAGCTTTACCTTTGTCATTGCCTTGTGTATTATTGATTCTTTTTAGTTGAGTCACTCACTGACTTTATACAACCCAATGTGTTAATTGAGTCAGTCAATGACCATACTTCTAATATATGCATAAAACATAATTGGTTTTTTTTTTTTTTTTTTTTAATCCTGATATATATCACTGGCTAAAGAGGTGATATATGAACAGAAAATGTATAACCTACAACACAAAAGTATATATAATATATAAAATTTTCTCTATTCTTTTGTTCTTTATTTAATCTGTGAATGTTGATTGTTCTCATTCTGCTGTCTATGTCTTGGGATATCTCATCTTTTTCTTTATTTAGTACTGTTGAGTTTATTCTTGCTCTTTTTTCAATGAGTCTGTCTGCATTACTCAGTCCAAGGGATGAAATTACAGTTACTATTGCCATATGATAGTTCCCTAGTGCATTAATGTGTTGGTTTGTAAATTTGGTCAGTTGCGAGTTCAAACTCAGTGGGAAAAGGACTTGTAACAACTGAGTAGTATTTAAAAAAAAAAAAAAAAATATATCCCTGGGCATGGACAGGGGAATGAAAACAAATAAATGGTATAATTTGAAATTCCCTGACTGGTACTAAGATCAACAAGTACCTGTAGAAAACCAGTGAGCACAATGTCCATCTTTCATCTCTGAGCAGTCTGATAATCTGTCTTTTAGTAATTTTTAAGAAAGTAACCATCTTTTTCCCTTGTGAGGTACTACCCCTATGTTAAAATGTATTTGAATTGGTTTATCTCTCATTTTTCTTAATGTTTCCCAGGTTTTACTCGATACTTGGCTCATCTCTTGAAAGCATCAGAAAAGAAAGTCCTTCATTTTTTGTTCTCTCTCAGGAAAGTATTCACTCTACATTTCATTGGTATTTCATAGGCTTAAAGAAAATGGTTTTCAGTTTGATAACACTTTTGTTTAAAATAATTAGAACCTTGAACTTTTTCATTGAGTTCATGTGTCTACTTGGAAAATTTAGAATTGCCTGAATTGATTTTTGTTTTCTTTTTCTTTTTAATTTACCCCTCCCCCAGGCCTTTTTTTTTTTTTTTTTTAATTAGCTTCTAAATATTACAAACAGAATCAATAATAAAGGATGCAATTATGTTATTTTTCTCTAATCAATCCTTGATGTTATGGGAAATTATTCCTGAAGCACATCTATCATTATTGAATATTCAAAGATAATTGTTTCTTTCTCTCCTCTTTATTGATTTTAATGTTTGAATTCTTGTTATAAAATTTGTATTTTATATATTTGTTATTGGAGGAGCTAAGTTGGAACTGTGCGGCTTGAATAGATATACATGTCTGTGTATGTATATGAAAAATTCTCAAGAATCTTATCAAAATATAAATCTGCACTACAGATGTATTCAAATATCTCCATTCCTGAAAGAATTACTCTTATCCTAAGCCAACATACACAATAAGAATATTAAAAAAATTAAAAGTGGTTAAATTCATAAGTTCATGTTATTTCAAATATATAACACATAAAGTAATCCCAAACTAAAGTAATTTAAATATTTATTTGCATAAAAAAAATTTCAAGAACATCTTTTACTCCCCTTTGTTTATTAGACGTTAAATTATGTCACTTAGTGTCCTCCATATTTTATCTATACTTTTCAGCTAACCTGATGAATATTTCTGCACATTTCTTAATTTCAAAAATTTGAAAAACTAGCAACATTTATGCTGTTGTCTATAAATTCTTGTTACAAAATAAATTCCTTGCATTTGCCTTGATAAAGCCACTCAGAGGATGAAATGCATCATCTAAGTTTCCATTTGTCAATTATTCATAGTCCTTTTAAAGATATATTTTTTTCTGAAATTTGACATGCACACACACGTACGTATGTATGTGCATACATGAACATTTGATGTGTGGCAGTGTGGTTGGAACCTTTTGCTTTGTGACTATAAAACCGGAGTTTGAATCTCATCATGGTTAAATTGTCAAGAAGGTGACTTCTTGGTGATATTGGCAGAGGAACACAATCCCAGCATGCCTGAAAACCATATCATGGATTGACCAAAACCTTGAGAGTGAAAATTGAGTAGATGGAACTTTTTCAGAGGCTGTCCATGATTGTGTTAGCACAAAATCACAAGTCATCATCACCACTAAAAGTTTGAGCATACTGGCATGTTTCAAATTGTTGATAATGCTGGAGAATGAACTCTTGGCCAAAATACTTTAACTTAGGTCAGCTTGGCACAGTTGCAGTATAAATCACAGGTGGGCTCTGTGGGTGCCAGATGTTTTATTTTAAATTTTAGGAATTCTTTTTTTTTAAAAAAACTAACATATGTTTGGTTCTGCAGGTTAAGTTTCATTGTGGTGAAACGAAAATCCTTTCCAAATTCGAATGCCCAGTATGCATGGATGTAACTATACATGTTTTTGTGAGCTAATACCTATCTCTACAATAGCTTCAGTCACTTTGAAACACCGACGATGCATCAAGGCAAATTCATTCTGTTATATGTGGTGGTGGGGGAGTCCCGATAATTGCACAGCACTGAACAATTACTTCTTTCCTGAGAACTGCTTGCTTTCATTATTTTGACTGTAAAATTGGAGATCAGGACAAATCCTGAGCCTCACACATCGATTGTAAATCCTGTTACAATAAATTAACTGCATGGTTTCATGACAAAAAAATATCGCAATTGTCTGGAGAGAGCAAGAAGCCATACAGATTATTATCTTTGTCTAATAAATACAACTAGTTTCAATGCTTTTTTAATATATATATTCCAAGCTTTCTTCACGCTTTCTATGACACCTGTTCCTCACTCAGGTGATCACCTTGTCCCTACACCCCCACTTTGCTTCATAATTGCATTCAGGGGAATATTCTGCCAAGTCGGTCTCTTCTGAAAACAATGTTCCTGTTTATTCAAGAGGAAGTGGCAGTAGGCCCAACTGGATCAGGGTCTTGTCCATAATTTGTAGATGTATCTAAGCCGCAGTAAGGGCACCTGGCAACCTACCTTTCATAGAAGAACCCGGTCATGGCAAATGAAAGTATCGCCAGTTTCAGGAAATAAAACAAGGACTTTGCCTCATTCTTCAACATGGAAAACAGGTTGTGCTGCTGCAGAGATTCTGATCATAAATAAACTGAGAGGATGGCAAACATTTAATGTGAGTCTGCCATCATGGCTTCCTTGGTAACACACTGGTACCAGATTACCAAGAATGTATGAGAAAGTTGTTATAGGCTTATGAGGATATGGGATGCCAGATGTCACTTAAAATTCACTTTCCTCACTTCCACATTTAACTTCTTTCCTTAGAACCTCATAGTGAATGATGAGAATTGAGAAAAGTTCTACCAAGATATTACTAAGATAGAAAGAAAATACCAAAACAAATCGAACACTAGCATGACAGGCGACTTCTACTGGATGCTTCTGTGTAACATACCAAATGTAAGGTCCATGAGATTGTCCAAAACAATCTCACTTCTGTTTGCTGTACTATGACGTGTATGTATGGTATTATCCATGCCAATGAGCTCTATCAATGATCTGTATCTCTGCTGTTTTTTGCAATATGTCTTTGTAATAGATAAAATAAGCTCATTATATTTTGAATTTATATGGAGTCTAATAAAAATGTGGAAAGCAAAAAATCTAGAGGTGATAGTGCAAA